CACTTGATTTTTCAGAGCACAACCTCCGATGTGCAACTTCTTGCAGAGGAGTGGCCACCATATTTAATTCCCCATAATTCCCCATAACCATGCTACTTCTGGATCCAAGGGACACTCAGAGGGAAAAGAAAACTGCCATCAAGGAGCCCGTTTTGGGCAGAGGATAGTGTCCCACTCACTTGCCCCTTTTCTGCTGTGACCCTCCTCTCCATTTTCAAGGGCAGCCCCTGGAATTCCAAGCATCAACGGAGAACTAACCAAAGGAAAGACAAGGGGCCGGTTTACCTGGAGTCTCAAGTTCTGGATTTCCTGCTCCAAGGCTCGTTTGCTGTATTCCAGGTCTTTCAGCCGGAATTCCCGCTCGCTGTCGTTGTGACGGATGGAGAGGAGCTGTTCTTCCAGGGAACGGCACTTCAGAGTGTATTCGCGGAGGGCTTGCTGCAAACCCAGCAAAACCAAAAGGAAGCAGTCTTAGATGACTTTGCCAGCTGGGAGAACCTGATTCCGTATGGCTTAGCTTGATGCCCGTTCTGTATTTTCACAATGCCCCCACCACCACCATTTTGGGCTGCTATTCCTACGCACTTGTCACCTTTGAACAGTACTATCAACCATCCTACTGTACATGGACTTTGAAGAAGCAGGACAGAAAGAATATGGACACTTTTGAACTCTGGTGTTGGAGAAGATTCCTGAGAATACCATGGATAGCCCAGAAAACAAACCAATGGATCACAATTACCTAGATATACACTTAAGCCATAAAGCAAGACATGATGGCTACATCTGCACAACACAGCAGTTTTCTACACACAAGATTTGTTTTCCTCTTCCTATAACAAAAATAGGAAACATTTATCCAGTCTAAGCTAATCTGTTGGTTGTATTTTTCTGTCCTCCCCCCCATTTCCTCACACCTTTTCTTTTTTCCCCAGGATTTGATGTTCTTTCCCAACCTTCCCGACATTTTTGGAAGAACATTTTGGTATTAGATCAACTGATAGGTCAATATAAAAACTGATCATTTGGACAAGACAACAGTTTAAATCAAGGGTCACCCTTTGGCACCACGAAGTGTGCCTGCTCACCTGCTGCTGACGATTATTCTCTCGCACAGATGCCAAAAGCATCTCATATTCTTTCACTTGAGCTTCTTTGAAAGTCAGATCTTTCTCAAGCAGCATCTTGTCTGTTTCCAGCTTCTGTAAAAACCCAAAGACAGGCTATTAAAAATACCCTATATTCTATGTATAGACAGACAGACAGACAGACAGACAGACAGCTTGATTGGGTGGTTGGGTGGGTGGTTGATTTTCTTATGGCGTACAAGGAGAAAGCACGTTTCTGATCCAGAACAAAGTGAGGCTTGGATCTCCAAAGGCACGTTGAACCATAAAGTCAGCCCTAAAATATGCCTCGATTATTTTGCAACACACTGACACTCAAAGCTAAACCTGTATCTCCTGATCTTAACTGAAAGGGGGCAGAATTTCATGGATTAAAAGCCAATACTCTGTTGAAAAATAAGCATGGACAAAGTGAATAAAGGTACAAATCAGTGATTCTAATGCAACTGCAAACGATACAAAATACCTCTAATTAAAAATGTTCCAAGTTCATAATGGGTTCTCTCCCAACCTTACTGGACAAGTACTGACACTTGTCCTGACCAACCATTTGGGAAGTGTTCAAACTCATAGACTCTGAATTTGAAATCTGTTGCACATCGCTACTAACAAGTCACCTATTATCCATGGTTTGGTCTCAAAAGATGCTTCCAGTTGTCCCATGAGAAAAGCAACTGGAAGCTGACTTACAATCTTTGAGAAATAGTGACTGTCATAGCCTTTGTTTCCACCATCCAAGAAAGGATCAGATATTTCTACCCAGAATTTATATGCCTGTCGATCAAAATCAAGGGGAGTTTCAAAAACAGTCAGTGACAAGAGGAGGATCCTGAAAATCTGAAGTGGTTTTAGGAACCCTGGCCCTAGATCATGAGTGCCAGATAGGTGCAGCTTTCCTCATTCTGACCTCCTCCAGATGTGTCTGAAATGTCATTTCCATCCAGCATGTCCCAGCACATCTGGAAGGCACCAGTTCAGGGAAAGCTGACCAATACACCTGGACACAGGCCAACCAACAGAACTACGCACCCCTAAGTCATCCTGCAAGTGGACAAGTTCCTCTCGAAGGTTGCTGAACGTAGCAAGGACAAGCCGCATCGACTTATCAGCTGTTCTTCTCATCTAGGAAAGGTGGAAAGCAAAACAGAGATTTTAGGATGGTTCTGGAGCAGCAAGATTTTAATGCAAAATCAGACACAGGTTCAAGCATGCAACTGAGCTGTGGAGTTACAGGACAATTCAATTCCTCAATCACTCCAATGCCGTCGGTGAGAAATGGCCAGGTGGAAATCTGGGAGACATAGCATTCACTGTCTCCCGCCATATTCTATCTACGGTTCTCCTTAATAGTGCTCCATTCTACCACAAGGAATTTTATTTACATTTATTTATATTTCAAATGGGGTCACCACTCATCTCACTAGGAAGTGACTCCAGGCAGTTTACAGTAAAAGCAATAGGAGGCAATGCTGGCTGGGGAATTCTGGGAGTTGAAGTCCATACATCTTCAAACTGCCAAGGTTGAGAAATACTGCAGTAGATATTTAAAGCAAGTTTGGATTCAAAAATGTGACATCTCTATTCCAATCTTTTGCATACCATACTGAGACATATTATGTGTTCCAACAGTTTGAGACATTATTAGATTATCTTGGACTTTTTGTTGCTTTTAATGCCTCCTTTCATCAATATTAGTTTTTACTGCATATTTTCTAACCCTATAGTTGCTATCCATCAACACAGAATTTATCCTAGGAAGGGCAGTAAGTACATATGAAAAAATACATCAACATTGTGTGTAAGTGTGTAGGGATCTGGACAAAACGGTTTCACAACCTGAAATCAAACACAATTTCCACTGATTTACGCAAATTTCTCTACAACTCCTTACCTCCAGAAGATAACGGATCTGCTGTTTTGTTGACTCTGAAAGCCCTTTAGGAATCAAGCTCTCAATATCCTCTGTCTATTGAAAACAGAACAAGAAATAGAATGCATATTATCAGAAGTGCTGTTATGGGTTAATCAAATACTTGGTTCAGCCTCACTCGTCTATATCCTATTGGGCTGGGAATATCATCTGCAGAAGGACCTTTGCAACAGGCAGGAGTGGGTCCAAAACTCCTCTCCATAAATGATAAAAGCAGCTGCATCTTCTTCTAGACGGACACAGCTGCTTCAAAGGGCTGCTCTGATCTGTCTCCAAATGTTGGTGTAGGCATAGCGGCCGTGTCTTTTTCCCAGCAAAATGAAGTGACTGTCCACGGGCATCCATGCAGCGCCAGCCAACAGCCCTTTTTGAAGCCACACCTGTCCAAACCAAGAAAAAGTGGCAGCTCTTTTAAGGATTTGTAGAGAGGTAGTTTGTACCTGCTCCTCTATCTTACGAAGGGCCCCTTTCAAAGGATTTGCACATGTCTCCCTTCCTACACGTTTCTAGCAAGTTGATTACACACAGCTTGCTAAAAGCATAGCAACCACCACATTTCTTGCATGTTCAATCTCTTCCATATGCACAAGTCATTGCCAGCAACTTTTCCTACTACTTTGATAGTGGGGCTGGGAAGAAATTATTCCCCTCTCCGTGGGAAGTTTCTAAACATGGACGAGTCCCAAAGCATTAGCCCCCAGGGATGTGCAAAATGGAAAGTTTCTGATCTCAAGAAGGACCCATTCTGCGTGTTCATTTATGTATTTATTGTGATATAGCTTGAGACCAAACCAGCGGAGTGTTCAAAATACTCAGAAGCAGGCTTGTTAAAATCAGAACACTTGTTTGGGATCCATATCTTCCACGGTATGACTTGTGCGTATTGAAGAGACTGAACACGCAAGAAACGTGGTGGTTGCTGTGCTTTTAGCAAGCTGTATGTAATTATCTTTGAGTACATTTGGGTATGAGAACCTTCCACGAACAACTCTAAGAGCCACTATAAAGAAAAGAAATAATCAGGCCCTACCATTTGTGTTAAGACCAGCATAATTTTCACTTGGGCAAGTTAAGACCAGCCTTGTATTGTCACTTTTGGGATTTATACCAGAGTTAAAGACAGCTGACCATAGTTTATGTATTAATCCACCAAGCCAGGATATTGCTAGCAATTCTGGAAACCTTTTGGCACTTACATCATTCAGAGATTCCAGCTCGTATCTTCTGTAAGAGAAATACAAGAAAACATTAGCACAGTCATTTACTTATCCACTGAGTACATTATAATTATTACTACGAATGTCATGGTAATTCTTTCATTCTGACTTGGTGGACAAAGGTATATTCTAAGTTGCCTCTCAAAAGATAATGGTGTGCTTCCAGAATATTAAATGTAAATAATTAAGATAAAACACACACATCCACAAATAAGCATATCCCAGATAAACCTGCAGTCCAACTGGTGGCACCCATCATTGCAACAGTGATGGTCCCTCTTTCATGGTGAAGTAAGTTGCACAAACCCAGGCAACTGTGATTTATTCAGCAAACTGTGACTAAGTTATGGTTTAGCATGACCTGGGAAACCAGTACATAACAATTATATACAGGTGGTCCTTGTTTAATGACCATTTGTTCAGAGACTCTTCAAACTTGTGACGGTGCTGAACGAGTGGTACTTACAACTGGCCCTTGACGTTCTGGCCACTGAAGTGCCCCTGAGGTCATGGGATCGCAATCGGGGTACTTGGCAACTGGCCTGGATTTCCGACCATTGCAGAGTCCCACAATCATGATTGCAATTTGCGACCTTCCCTGCTAGCTTCCCACAAGCAATGGGGAAGCCGGTAGGAAGTTGGAAGTCACTGTCATGTGAGGTGCTCACTTAACGACGGTAACCAGGGACTGCTGGAACTGCCATCACTAAGCGATGCAGTCACGTCACACTTTATGATTGCATCACTTAGCGACAAAAATCCTGGCGTTAACTGAGGACTATCTATAAATAAAAACCAGGAATGTTGCCATAACACCCTCCTAATACGGGGACTGGGATTATAAAGCTGTTGAAAAGAGCAAGGATACTTTAAGACAGAGGAATTTAAGGTTTCCGAAGCCCACTCAATCAACCCCATTTCTCATGCAGAAGCAGCACTATGACGACTGCTGCAAACCAAGCACGGCTGCAGCTGCTGTTCGGGCAAGCAGCCCTCCTTCCCTTCCAAGCGGGGCTGCCAGACATTCTCCGAATTCCAAGCATGCTCCTGCTAGGATGGGGCTGGCCTCTACCTTCCGCCCAGCTTCTCGACGTGCTGAAGCAAACAGCTGTACAGGTCGTTGCTCTTGCGGTGCAGCTCTGCTAGGAGCTCGCCAAAGTATCGGCAGTCTAGCTGGTCATTGGTCTCCTGGGTGCACCTCACCTAACAGGAGGACATAAAGAACATCATTAGTAGGGCCACGTTCCTTGACCATAAACAGCATTCAACTCTAGCACACAAGTGGCTGATCTGGAGCACTGCTCTGGTTCCTGACTGCACACTACACAGACCTACTTGTTGCACTGAATCTCCTTGATGTGACCATGAAATATTTGTAGCTTGAATCATTATTTCTCCAGCACCCTTATATTCTACATTATGCATCAATAAACTGCCTAATCTTCTGCAGCAGCATTGTTGGATTTCTTCTGGCCACCAGAGACCCTCTGCACTAAGCTGGAACTTGGTTTGCTTGCTTCTGGGTCAACGTGTTGGGTGAAGCCAGTCAGTGGGGTTTATGAACCATGATTAATGGCTTAAGATGTAGAGCCAGCCGAACTTTTCAATAAAGCATGCTCAAACAAACCATGACTTCGCAAACCCAGCAGCAAAGCTGCTTAAGTGGAAATTCAAACCAGAGCAATGCAAATGTTACCCACTGAAAAGCTGGCACAGCTTTGAGATTTTCCTGCAATGGTTTAACCCATCACAGCTTATTCATTAGATAATACAAAAGGGTCAAAATTGACCTAAGATGAAGGAAGTATACACCAGTCCATAAGTTTTCAAGTACTAAACATCATTTTTCCGAATGCCCTCCCCCATTTTAATTTTTCTCAAGGACTCTCATGTCAGCTTCCAGCAAAAGGTATTCAAAGCATTCTGAATTGGTAACATTTCTAGTCTGAAACTGGCAGATCCAAATTCAAAGGCTGTGTCAAGTTATGGTTGGATATGTGTTCCAGACTCAAAGCCACCCTGATTTAGGCTTGGAATACCGGTTTCAATCTCAAAAGACATCAAGTTAGGGTAGAATCACCTTTTCCAAACTTGAAATACTGTACATTTTCTATTTTCAAGAATGTTTGTTTACAATTTACAGCATCTAATGCCCAGTAAACAACCCAAAGTGGCATATTTCAAGCTTTCATAAAGTGGAGCTTTCCAATGAACTGGATTTTAATTCCCAGAATCCCCAGCCTTCCACCCTGCAAGCTTGGTGATTTTGACTAGATGTCCAGAGGTCCCTAGATAAAAGAATGTTGATATACAGGTAGTCCCCGCTTAACAACTGTTCATTTAGCAACCGTTTGAAGTTACAATGGCACTAAAAAAAGTGACTTATGACTGGTGCCCGAAGTTACGACCATCACAGTGCCCCCACAGTCACATGATCACGATCCAGGTGCTTGGCAACCAGCTCACACTTACAACGGTTGCAGTGTCCTGGAGTCACATGATTGCCATCTGTGACCTTTTCAGCCAACTTCTGGCAAGTAAAATCAATGGGGAACCACATGATTCACATAACAACCGCTGCAAAAAAGGTTGTAAAATTAGGTCCGGTCACATGATGATTCACTTAATGACCGCATCACTTAGTGACCTAAATTCTGTTCCCAATTGTGGTCGTTAAGCAAAGATTACCTGTAATCCCTTCTGTCCCCAGAATCAATACGGGATTAATATTCACAATAGTTTGGCAGACTCCTTTTCAAAATGGTGAGTACTTTTTTATCCTCCTAATTCTCATCAGCTCTAAGATTTGAGTTTAAATTTAGGGAAAACAAAAAACAAACAAACAAGATTAAAAAGAAAAGGCAAATGCTCTGAAAACTCAGGCACTTCTGAAAAAAAGATTTGGTCAGTTAAAAACTTCTTTGCTACAGTTAAAGAGCACAAAGCCATTTATACTAGCTCCTCTTTTTACTTTTTTCTCCATCTGTTCTTCGCTCTCTTCAAGAAGAACAAAACCCACAGCTTTTCTGGGTTTTCCCACCATGCGTCTTCAGCCTCTCGAGCACCACAAAAAATCTGTGGCTGCCGCCTGCATAATTAGAATTCAACCTTCTCCTTTTTCCCAAGCACTCCACCTCAATTTATTTTGTTTCATAACTTGTGGCTAACAGGGAATGAAGTTTCTTGCTGAGGCTTCTGCAACATCGCCTGCCTTCTGCTAGAGGCAAACACAGACACACTTTCTGATTTAACTCCAGATAACGTCAGCGCAGAACTCCAGATAACTGAGAGCTAGCTCAAGCCTCGTTCCCCGCCAGGCTGGGTGTTGGCCATGTTGCAACTTTGGCAAAATGGTTCAGAAAATTATGCTGTAAACTAATAGCCATTTCATCTGCAAAGCAGCCGAGAGGACCATTCCACGCATGAGTTCTGAGTTGGGCAGCTGAGTTAAAAGAACCTTTTGGAGCAGAAAATATCCACTTAAACCAGTGTTTCTCAACCTTGGCCACTTGAAGATGTGTGGACTTCAACTCCCAGAATTCCCCAGCCAGCCATGCTGGCT